AAATAGCTCTGTATCCGGATAAAGAGCTCGGCAAACGTCATAAAGTCCCAGTTGCGCTAACTGTATCAGAAATTGTGATCCTGGTTGTTCAGTACTAGGCGAGCGGTCTATTTTATTGTCAATTGTATCGTTAAAGTCACCTAATACAACGTGTAATACTACAGTGTTGTGAATTGATCAGTTATGTCCCTCTATAGCCATTTTCAATTCGTCAATCAAGTTTTTCCTCATATCTTGATTGTTAGGAGCGGCATATATCGACCAGATCCATATTTCTCTCTGTATAAATAAAAATTTAACTATTATGATATATGGAGATATACGTTCTACTGCATAGTAATGTTTCATCCATCTGTTATGGATCACAAGTGCCGTTCCTGATCCTTTGGTTTTTTGATCTCGTTCACTGAATATTATCGAGTAAACCTTTGACTTAATATCCTGATTTATAAAGTATTCCTGTCGATAGTCTATATTAGTTTCTGATATAGCCATAATATCGATGTTATTTTCTTCGATAAATTCCAACAGATTGTGAAGTTTTTGTATAGATGGAGTACTAGCTATCCCATCTATATTATGTGCTGCTATATGCAAATCTAAATACATCGAATCCTTTGTCTTTTGATTATTTAGATTCTCTTTAGTAAATCTTAATCTTTGTCTTGCTAAGAATACATTAATGTTTTCTTCGTTTGTCAAAGACTCAACTATTTCCTCTAAATTGTCTGGATCTTTTTAGAAATTCCCTTTTCATACGCTAATTCAGTTATTTCTGGGTGTGTATTTCCTGTATTTGTGCTACTATTTGTCCTATGTTTGTTTTGTATTTGTTGTGATTGTTCATTACTCGCGTGCTGTATGGAAGACGATGCGTTGTTGTTCTGATTATTTTTGAGAAGAATGCTCGGGACTTGGCATAGTTCTCTTCCTTTCAGTCTTTCTCCGTGTGTAACTCTATTGTTTATCATCTTGTGTAACCTTCGTTTTTGTTTTTTATTTAGGCCAGCTAAAGAAAAACTCTATCTTGAATTCTAAAAATTCTTTAGAATACTGTTTTTGATTTTTATATAAAGATGTAATATTATGATACTTTATAAATAAAGATTGAAACTGTCAAAAAAAAGCTTAACTGATTATAACCAGTTAATTAAAGCGTCTAACTAGTTAATAGTCAATTAATTAATCAATTAATTAACCAGTTAATTTGTAATGAAGCTAACTGGTTAATAACAAGTTAATATATAAATTTTATATTTTAACATATGTTTAGAGGCCTATTTTTTGTATTTTAACATGTGTTTAAAGATAAATTTTTGTGTTTTTAACTAAATAGTATTATTTAAGAATAATCACTAGTAAATCTTTATATTAAAATATATACATTAGTAACAAATTACATACAGTATTATATTGTAATTACTTATTACTAAGTCATACAGTAGTCATCAGTATCAGCATAATTATATTTTTAGTTCTATTTGAAATTTCATTCTAATTCTGATGACCACTGCTGTATTCAAATTTTTGCATTTTTTTTATTTAACATATCCAATCATATATTATTGATTTCTGCATAAATCAAGGTTATAACTTTAGAATATTTTAATATAAATAATGTTAAATTATAAATATGTCATGAAATATAAAATTGACATCATTACAGATTTATTATTGACTCATGCTTTAAAAGAATAGGCAAAATTAAAGTTAATGCTAGTAAAATTAAAGTTAGAAGTTGACTAGGAATTACTAATTTAATATGATCTGTATTTTAACCAATTAAGTTAGCTAATTAATTAGTCGATTAATTTAATTAATTAAATTAATCCATTAACTATTTTTTGAGAAGTCTTAATCAGTTAACTATTTTAACTGGTTCCAATTCCTATTTATAGATGTAATAAAAACAAAATCTTTAATCATAATACCTTTTTATTCAATTATTATTTTTTTTATTTTTGAATTTATAAGAAAATAAGATTAGGAAGTAATCTAATTGTGGTTAATATTAATTATATATTAGAATTATGTAATTTAATATATTTAATTCTGAATAAATTACAATATTTGAAGTATTTTTAATATATAAATATAAATTTAATTTTTCTGGTAATTTTTTCCTTTTTTATTGCAAAGAGTTTATATATTTAGTTATTTATAATTAAGTACTTTACAAAAACTTAACATTTTTAATCAATATAGAATCGATATCATTAAATTTATCTTAATGGTATTGTTTTGATATCTATATCTGCTAATTCGTGGAATTTGCTGATCATCAGTTATGTGGTGCAGTACCGATTAAAATCGATCAAAACCCATTCTTACGTAAGAAAAAATGTCAAAAAATATATAAAAAAAACTTTTAAGATCTCTCCCAAAATATTTACCTCTTTAACCCAAAACTAGTAGAAGGAGTTTCTAGAAAAAAAAGGAAAAAATATTATAAAGTTAGTTTATTAAAAAAATAAAAAGAAAAACTTTACAAAATCCAGAATATTTAATGATTTAACGAAAAAAAATTAACTGAAAAATAATTAATAATAAATCAAATAGATTTTAATTAAACAACTAATCAATACATAATCTAAATTCGCTAAAACATCATTATTAATATTTAGAGTTATTTATTTATTAAAAGATTTATAATTACTAATATATTTGCAAAAATTCTCAACTTACTTGATGTAAAAACTGGTTGAAAAGTTGATGGAGAAGTTAATGGGGAGTTTAATAGAGAGTTTACAAAAGAAAAAATTTTTTTAAACACTACTTTTTGTTGAAGTAATTTCTTGATATCTGTCATATGATTATATAGCACAAGTGTGATCATTTTTGCGAAACTTAATTTACCTAATTTTTTATTAAATTATTGTCAAATTCCTTAATTTAGATGAATTTTGTTAATTCTGCAGATCGGTGAATATGCATTTCGATATTATTTTAATATCAATTTAATATCGATGCAATATCAAAATAAAGTATTATCATTTCAATATTATTTCGATATTAAATTAATATTGAAATGATATCAAAATGATAATAGAAATGACATTGAAATGACATTTTTAAGTTAAAAAAAAAAAACTTTATTGTATAAAAAAATATTGTATAAAAAAAAAAAATTTTTTTTTTTTTAACTTAAATATGTTATTTCAATATTATTTTTATTATCATTTTGATATTATTTGATACTATTTCAATATCATTTTAATATTAAAGTGATAATATTTTATTTTAATATCACATTGATATTAAATTGATATTAAATCAATATCAAAATAATATCAAAATAATATCGCTTGAGAACTTAAAGTTTCTGTAAAATATATATGTATATGTTAGGTTAGTTTTAATAGAATCTCTGAGTAATATATAAATAAGTAATAAGAGATCAGCACAAATTTACTAATAGCTCTATACATCTCTTTAAAGCTGCATTATATATGTAATGCTAGTCAGAATTATCTAAAAAGAAAATGATATATATATTTTTGACATAAACTCTGTATTATTACCTTTTCATGTATTGTTCAGAATTCTGTTTTAGTATATATATTTAATTGATTAGTTTTAGTATGAATATTTAATTGATTAGGATTAGCTTTAATATATACACTACTTGAACAAAAGTAGTGAGAATTCATATTTTATTAATTACTTGAAAATGTACATAATAATAATACCTAAAATTTTTATATGTGATGATATAGACAATACTGAATATATATTCAAAATTTCATTATTCTAGCATTTATACAACTATGAAAACTCAGAAAGAAATTTTAATAATTATTTATATATTATATAATAAAAATAAACAAATAGTCTGATACTATCAGTTTATTTGGAATTATATAATAATAATACCAGAAATTTTAATATGTGGCAGTTAAGGTTGCCTAAACCTCTCCAAAATTTTACGATTAGTTTCTCCAAGATTTTACTATAGTTTTATTATAGTTTCAGCAAGGTTTTGGCAGTTTTGGCATTTATAATAAGTTTTGTTAGGTTTCGCTTTTTTCTAGAGTTTCGCTAACTTTTTAATAAGACTTTCATATAGTTTTGGCAAAGTTTCGCTATTTCAGCATTTTGCCAACTTGCCAAAACCCCCTAATTTCTTCAGCAACCTTAGTGGCAGTACAGATTCTTAATTAATATATATACATCAAATTTCTTATTTCTAGTTTTTGTTTTTATATGAATTATAAAAAAATTGAAAGAAAATTAAATTTTATAAACAATAATACTGTTGCTAATTACTAAATTTCTTTTTTTAATTAACATAGTTGTATGAATGCTAGAATTATGAAATTTTGAATATATATTCTTTATTAGTATCTATATTATTATATATTAAAATTTCAAGTATTATTAATATATATGTTTTTGAGTAATTAATAAAATATGACAAATTCCTACTACTTTTATTCAAGTAGTGTATATTTAATTGATTAGGATTAGCTTTAATATATATATTTAATTGATTAGAGTTAGCTTTAGTATGTATATTTAATTGATTAGGATTACCCTATAAAAAATTTTTATCTGAATATTTCCATTATTTCTCTGTATCTTCCATAAAAATTCTGTGAAATGATACATTTACGAATATCTGTGTTAATGAGATGAAAATTTCCATGATTTGAGGTTATTAATTCCATGAAAATGATACATTTACAGAAAAAGCATGGAAAGATAAAATATGGATCAGATTTTTTACAGGGTTAGCTTTAATATAACCCTGCAAAAATAAATAAAAAAAAATTGGAAACTATCTAGATTCTTTTAGAATAGCCTAGATGGTTCCTGATTTGGGATCAATAACTTTTGCCTCTAATAATACTAAAAAGTAGTTTTTACATTGTATAATATATATATATATACCATAATTTTGTACAATATTATAATATGTTTGCATGTTTTGTTTAATTTCTTGATTAAGATACATTAAAAAAAGCAAAGATATTCTTACAAAATGTTGATTAATAGTATATCTCAGAATTAAAGCGTTATTGTGACAAACAGAAATAGAGTTTATTAATAACTAAAGATATAATAAATGTATTTAACTAAAATTTTTTATTTTCATTATATATAAATTTTTTCACTTTGAAAAGTGTCCGCAATTGCCCTCTGTAATTACATCATCCATTTCTCTAGTATTATATTTTTAAAAGTAATCAAGAAAGTAACGAAATGGTTTAAAAATCCCAAAGAAATAATATTACTCTGATGCTTTTACTTTCCATTAGAACAGATTTCTTTCTGGGACGTGAAAAAGATGGTTTCGAAAATTTTTTATTATTTATGAGGTTATAATAAAATAAATGTACTTACATAATTTTATTTATAAAATAATGAATAAAATAGAAATAAATTTCAATAACTCTGTCGTAACACCGTTTTTTAAATATGTACAGTATATACCAATTTTCAATTGGATGAAGAGTCACACATACTACACTTGCAACGGAACCCATAAGTTGTCTCGAGAAGTTGACGGGTTTTCTTAGTACTACCGGAAGATTTTACAGTATTGCTAACAACTGACAAGACACTAAAGTCATGCCCTAACGTGTAATTAATAAATACTTGTTCTCCTTTTTTGATATTACGGGCTGCTTCGACTCGCGTTGACAAAATCGGGGCGAACGGAAATGGTTCTCCGCGTTGAATTGATTTGGATGTATCGTCCGAACAACGGGCATTTGGATTGCAATCATGATTGAAAAGAGAGATTATGGGGTATAATTGTCCCGTTGATGTCAAAGGATTAAAAAAAACAGAATTGGGTTTGAGCTTCCTATAAATTGTTAGATAGATCCATGATTCGTATCGTGAATCAAAAATGGGGATCTCCAATAATTTCATTAATTCAATGTAGAAGTCGATAGCCATAAGGCCGTGCTGGAACCACGAAGTCGAATGTTGGAAGGGGAAAAGGTGTTTGATCTCTTCAATGTCCAAGGGACAAATATTTCGTTGTTTGGCAATAGCAAAGATTTTGAAAACAACTAAAAGAGAAATGCCGGAGTTTTTACTTTCTTTGTTCACTATTGCATACAATAAATCAAGATTTTTCCCGCAGATAGCACGATGATATAACTTCCAAGATTTGTCAAAACAATCATCACTACAAAAGATTTCGGAACAATTCGCTTTCGGACACGAGAAACTTTTCGAACTAGTTGATTTGTTGCAAAAATCGCATTGCAATTGACCAGGAGAGTGAACTGAAATAAGTGGTTTTTCATCAAGCAAGATGATTCCTCTTTTTATATTCTTTGTTGCTATTATACCGAATTCTTGTGGTTGTGAAGCACCAGGAAAACTAACTAGTGACATTTTGATGTTCTTTCCGGAGATTTTATCCAAGAGCTTCTGAACAAAAGCGGAACTCTCTGGGGTGCAACGCTCTTGACTACGAATGTCCCAAGGGTAGGCTCCACGACTTGGAAACTTACAAATTTTTCCAACTTGTTCGACCAATATGTAACGATCCGAGCCCAAATTATTCAAAAGCATCGTATTTTGGTAATGTTCTTTAAGGTAACGATCCTTTTCACATTCTAACGCATTCCAATCAACACCTGCTACTGGTCGTCTATAAGCAATTTGAAATAGCCTCTCCAACGCACTTGCTGCTAAATCGAATCCATTGCACTTCGCCAATGCCTCTGCTTCTCTCCATCTACTTTTACAAAGTAACGCCAGATCAGCGTTCTCATATTTGCCACTAATGATCTTTGGTTCGAGGAGAGAGCAAGCATAAGCGGCATCGACTACCGCAAGTTCGGGATACTCAAGTTTAATAAAGGTTTGCGCACGGTTTGACCATAATCGCGGGTCTTCGGGTGTAACTTCAATCCCTTTAGTATATTCTTGCCTTGCAGTCTCGAATTCTTTGTCAACAAATGCTTTATTGCCTTTTTCTCGGTAATTCATTATTTGGGTAGCGTGTAAAAAGATATGAAATAATTATACCAATAGTGTCTTCAAAGATGTCAATTATAAAATTAGGAAACAGAACCTGCTTTAGATCCCGAAATTTAAAGCCACGCTGTTCCTTTGCTGCTTTAGTATAGTTAACAATACGTAACTTTCACGAGTTATCAGAGACAAAGAGACAAGATTTCATCTCGGTATCCGTGTGACAAAATAACAGGTTACACATGATCTGAGCACATGATCCGGACGGCATTTTCGGTAATTATAAACTTTTTTATTGATCTTTTACTCCTTTCAGTTCTTGTTACTAGGAAACGGAATCCGTTATTAAGTCTGAAGTGCCATTTAAAGTTTTTTTGTTGCATAGAACAAGAATTAGTATACTGGATTTAGTAGAATCAATATTAAAAGCTAATTCCATTCATATCTGCACAATACATTTTTATAAGGATCAACAGCAACTTGCTTTTTTTCTACTAAATTAAAAAAAATACTTATTGAAAACCTTATAGAAGCATTTGCAATAGCAGACATTCCTCTTGAAAAAGTCAATTGTTTACTTCCATTTTTTAAGTTAAGAATGGTGATTTTATTTCTCAAACTTTAACTCTTATTTATTTGACGTTTTTAATAAACATTATCAACCACTTAGGTTACTTTTTGATTCAAAGCCAGTAGCTATAATTATGGATGAAACAACTGATAATTGTACATGAAGTGTAGTCAATACACTTTTTTGTTATCACAATAAAACAAAATTAGTTTCAGTTAATTTTTCTAAACATATAAACAATACCACAATGCCGAGACAAATACTTATAACAGTATTAGTCCATTTTAATATATTCTTTAATTTACCTTATCTATTTTTATCAAATTCAGCCATCTACATGAAGAAATATTATTGTGAGATTTTATTACTATTAGCTATAACAGTATAATTGCAATCATCAGAAATTTCTACTTTCCATATCTTAAGCTTATCTGCAGAAAAAATATTAAGCTCTGATGTTTTTCTGTTTTGATAACTTTTTTGAAGTGGGATAAATATAGTTACTTATATAGTATTTTTTGTGAAATTTTATTGGTGCAAACTAGTATATATAAAGTTAAAGTGATGAAAAAATTTTATTTGCAAAAAATACTGATATGTGTAAGAATGTTATATTATTAAAATGTCCAAGAATTTTACCTAAATCTAATGTAGCAAAATGTTCTAGGAATTTGTTATCAATAAAATCATGATATTCTTCACATACTTAAAGCTCTGAACGGGTTGGTTTAGTGTGGTTTTAGTAAGGAACTGGATCTGAACTGAAAATCCCATCTGGTTTCAGTTCGGTTTTCTGATTTAGACCCAAACTGGAACTGGAACCAAATTTTTAATTTGAGCCAAACAGGACCCCGGATATCTAATATAAAGGTCATAATGGACTTTTGGCCAAAAACACCCCTTTTTGCTGAAACTCAAAAAATCGTTTTTTGTAAATATCTNGAATTATAACCACCAAATATTTCTTCCGAATGTTTAAGTTTAATTAAAATTAATATAGATCCTTGACCACTACATATATTTCTAATAATTTTAATTTTATTTAAGGCGAAAAATCATATACTAAAGAGCTGCCTTTTTTGCAAATTTAGTAATCACATATGAGCCTGTCTCTTATACACATCTAGATGTGTATAAGAGACAGATACTCTGGTTTTCAGTTCTTATTTATTGTAAAAAGGCAGGTGATTGAAATATTTCTTTTTTTTTTATTCTTTCATTTTTTTTTTATTTCTTTTACTAATTCTGTTCTCCTTCTTCCTTATTTTATGTTTTCAGTTCTTGTTCTTCATGATGTGTTTTTTTTTCATTTTTGGTTCTTTTTTTTGTTTTTGTTGTTAATTTCATTCTCCTTCTTCCTTTTAGGTTTTCAGTTCTTATTCTTTGTGAAAAGGCAGGTAATTGAAATATTTCTTTTTTTTTCGTTCTTTCATTTTTTTTATTTCTTTTACTAATTCCGTTCTTCTTTTTCCTTATTTTAGGTTTTCAGTTTTTGTTCTTCATGAAAAGGCAGGTGATTGAAATATTTCTTTTTTTTCATTCTTTCATTTTTTTTTTATTTCTTTTGCTAATTCTGTTCCTGTCTCTTATACACATCTAGATGTGTATAAGAGACAGATATTTAAGATATCCGGGGTCCTAGCCAAACTGATATCATCAGTTCGGTCTAATATCAATTAGATGATCTAAAGATAATCTTTTTTTTTAGTATTAGATTGGAACCTCCCTCTGCCAATTTGTCCTTCCCTTTTTTATGAAGTTTTAGTTCTTTACAGAAAGGTCTTTTAGGCCTTTGGCTTTTTGGCTCTTCACGATTGGTTTTTTTTGTTTTGATTTTTTTTGGTTTTTTTTAACTAATTTCATTTGTTTTCTTTCTTTTTTTAGGTTCCAGTTTTTTGCGTTTTTTACAGAAAGGTGTGCGTTTCTTTTTTTTCATTTTTTGGTTATTTTTTTTTATTTCCTTTGCTAATTCCATTCGCTTTCTTTCCTTTTCTTAGATCTTCAGTTCTTATTCTTCGTGAAAAGGCAGGTGATTGAAATATATCTTTTTTTTTTATTTTTTTATTTTTTTTTATTTCTTTTACTAATTCTGTTCTCCTTCTTCCTTATTTTAGGTTTTCAGTTTTTGTTCTTCATAAAAAGGCAGGTGATTGAAATATTTCTTTTTTTTTCAATCTTTCATTTTTTTTTTATTTCTTTTGCTAATTCTGTTCTCCTTCTTCCTTATTTTATGTTTTCAGTTTTTGTTTTTCATGATGTGTTTTTTTTTTCATTTTTGGTTCTTTTTTTTGTTTCTGTTGTTAATTCTGTTCTTCTTCTTCCTTTTAGGTTTTCAAGGACCCCGGATATCTCCAAAACAGGTCATAAGTCACACTTTCGGCAGATTGGCCCATTTTTCAGGGGCTCAAAAAATCGTTTTTTGTAAATATCTCGGCATCCAGTGGTCCAATTTTGATGAACTTTTTTTTAAATTGTAGAGCTANAAAAATACAGTTTTGGAGATAGTAAATGAATTTTAAGTGGCAAATCGGTTAATAGGAATCACTACTGATAATAAGGCTAAAATGGTTGCAGCAACACGTCAAATTGAAGAAAGTCTTGAATTGCAAACTTTTAACCATTATCGTTGTATAGCCCATATACTGAATTTAATTGTTAAAGCAGCACTTGATACAGATATTATACCCTTACCCATTAAAAAATTACATGCTTTTATCAGTACAATTAGAAATTCTCCAAAGCAAATGGATAAATTAAAAGAATATTTCAGAGTTGAAGATATAAAATTTAAAGCACCACTTCCTGATATTATAACAAGATGGAATTATACCTTTTATATGATTGAAAGAGCATTAGAAATTAAGCCTATTCTATTACATATAGTTTCAAATCTTCCAACTTTGACAAGTAATTGGCCAACTGATGAGGAATGGGTGATTCTTACTGATTTATTAGATTTGTTAGCACCATTTGCTTTAATGACTAAAATTATATTTGCTGCTAGCTATCCTACAATTGGTGAAGTCAAATGGCTTCTTTTAGGAATTAAACATCACTTAGAACGAACTCAAAGTAGTAATTATTCTTTATTGCTTCAAGTGAATGCAATGAAACGTGTTTTTGATAATTACTTTGAACAAATTAATAATTTGCTTCATATTCTGGCATTCTTTGACCCATGTTACAAAAAAAAAGCTTATGGAAATATATTTCAAGAAAGTATACTTCAACCAATTAGAATTGCAATGGCTGATTATTATGAAGAATCATCTACACCTACTGTTTCTGAAGATAGAACTATAGAAGATCTATGATTCCAACTTAATAATATGACTACATCAGAAACACGAAATTATTTTCAAAATCTTTTTATGCCCATTCAAAATCAGCAGCAATCTGTTAGTACAAATGAATTAGATAATTATTTTAATTCTAATTCTCCTAGTGATGAAGTGATGCCAATGGAATGGTGAAGGATACATGCAATTGAGTACCCAAAATTATCCAAAATGGCAAAAGACTATTTGTTCATAATGTCAACATCTGTTTCCTGCAAGCAGTTCTTCTCAGTCGCTGGAAAACAGATAACTCAAACACGAAATAGATTGCATCCAGATACAACATGAGCATGCTTATGCTTAAAATCATAGTTAGAACAAGAAAAAATCAAATTTTGAATGTATACTTTATTGGTTTAGATATAAAATGAACAATATTAGTTAGTTTATAACAAATTCAGTTGTATATCAATATATTAAAACTATCAATAAAGACATATGTTAAATATAATTAATAATTACTATCTAACTAATAAGCTTTGATATTTTATGATAAAATTAAAATAAATAATGATAAATTATTATGATAATAATAAAATATTTCATGGTCTTTTAAAGACTGCAGTCCTAAAAAGACTGTCGGTCTTATTGCTATTTATAAAAACCATTTAGGACCATAAGAGTTTGCAGTCTTATTGGTCCGGTCTTTTCAGTCTTAAGACTGAAAAGACCATAAGTCCTGAGCTGAGAAGACCATCTTTAGATGTTGTGTAATATTCCATCTGATATGGAAGATTTATTTTATCATGAACATGTTAACATTGGCTTAAAAGATCCAATTTTTGAACCAAGCATCATGCTACAGAATTATGTGATATACTTATAAATTCACAACAATGGCATCCCTATTTGTTAGTTTTTACAGATAGTGGTAGTGATCATCAGTTAAGATTTCTCAGAGTTCAACTTTTATGGATATATTTATTTATAGTGTTAGGTTTAGATTACTTTGTAGTAGTTAGAACTCCTCCCAGACATTCTTGGAAAAATCCTGTGGAAAGGATTATATCCATTTTAAATCTAGGTTTACAATCAGTAGGATTGATGTGTTAAAAGATGGAGCAGGAAGATTTAATTGAAAGTTGCAATACTATGGAAGCGATATATGAAGCTGGACAAAATAAAAAAAAAGTGTTAAAATGAAACTTGCAACCCACCATTGATTTAGTTAATTCAATTTTTCAATATTAATCACTAAAAGATAAGCCATTTAAAACATTCGAAGCTGCAACAGAACAGGAGATTGACAATTTGTGGGAATCAATTTTACATTGGATCCTGATTTAAATAAAGATACTACTAGATAATTTAAACATGTTAAAAATATGGTAAAATATTTAATTTATTGAATTTATTGACATATTGAAACAAAATAAGAATTTTATGGAGTATGAATATTAATTTTATTAACATTTTATACAGACGAAATTTAATGAATTTTATGACCACTGCTGTCAAAAATTAAAAAGTGTGGCAATGAGTTTGTAGCAATTGTCTCCCACTTTCTGGTGATAAAGAAATGTTTGAGTCTTTGAGAAAATATTCAACTTTCCCGATCCAATGCCCAGTAATGATATGTCATTTGAAGATATATATGGAAAGGAAACTGATGAAAAGCATCATCCCTGTCTCTTATACACATCTAGATGTGTATAAGAGACAGCCTTTTAGGTTTTCAGTTCTTATTCTTTGTGAAAAGGCAGGTAATTGAAATATTTCTTTTTTTTTCGTTCTTTCATTTTTTTTATTTCTTTTACTAATTCCGTTCTTCTTTTTCCTTATTTTAGGTTTTCAGTTTTTGTTCTTCATGAAAAGGCAGGTGATTGAAATATTTCTTTTTTTTCATTCTTTCATTTTTTTTTTATTTCTTTTGCTAATTCTGTTCTCCTTCTTCCTTATTTTATGTTTTCAGTTCTTGTTCTTCATGATGTGTTTCTTTTTTCATTTTTGGTTCTTTTTTTTGTTTCTGTTGTTAATTCTGTTCTTCTTCTTTCTTTTAGGTTTTCAGTTCTTATTCTTTGTGAAAAGGCAGGTGATTGAAATATTTCTTTTTTTTTCATTCTTTCATTTTTTTTATTTCTTTTGTTAATTCTGTTCTTCTTCTTCCTTATTTTAGGTTTTTAGTTCTTGTTCTTCGTGAAAAGGCAGGTGATTGAAATTTTTTTATTTCTTTTTTTCATTTTTTCATTTTCCTTTACTAATTTCATCCTTTACTTTTAGATTTTTGGTGCTTCGTGATCATAAGTATGTTATTTATTATGCAATTTCCTAATAGGCTTAGCAGACTGCTTTTTATTCTGATGAACTTGATGTTTAACTTTTTTTTATTTTATTTTTTTTATTTTTTCGTCTATTTTTTTATTGTTTGATTATTTTTTTGATTTTTATTTTGATTTTTGTAATTTTTCGTTTATTTTTTTTTTATTTTTTTTTATTTTTTGTTGTTTTATTTAATTTTTGTTTATTTTTGTTTAATTTTTGTTTACTTTTTTTTAATTACTTTTTTTTAATTTCATTTTTTTTTTAATTTTCATTTATTTTTTTTATTTTTTGTCAATATTTTATCTATAAAAAAAATTCAAAAAAAAGATCAGCGATTTTGATTCATTTTAATAAATAAATAATTTTTAATATTTCTAATAATTTTAATTTTATTTAAGGCGAAAAATCATATACTAAAGAGCTGCCTTTTTTGCAAATTTAGTAATCACATATGAGCAAAAAGGTTTAAGAAAGATATATTAGAAAATTGAAAATTACTCATTGTGAAGAGACAAGAAACGATTGAGAAAAAACAATGCCATTCAAAACAATAAAGAATTTGTTCAGCTGATCTAAACAAAAACTTATTGCGCTAATGACAATAAACAAAAAAACAGAAATTGCACGTAAATTAGAATTAGAAGAGGGAAAGCTTGAACAACTCTCCAAAACTTTTCCAAATGACAATTAGGACAACAATAAGACACGTACACAACAGGCAAAGACTAACTATACACAACCAAATGACAATCAGGACAACAACAAGAGGCTTACACAACAGGCAAAGACTAACTATACACAACTAAATGCAAATGTATATAACAACAATAACAACACAGAGAGTAAAAACACATTCAATTTAACGTTTATGGGACACAATATTAACGGGCTGGGCTCAGATCATTCCAAACTTAACTTACTAACGGAATATTGCTCAAACAAGAGAGCCGACATAATAGATATATGTGAAACAAATAGAGATAGAAAACACAGTGAATATTGGAACAAATAAAACTTAATATACATCTCTTTCTGGACTAATAAATAAAAGGATCTGAAGTGTGCATAATGATTAATAAGAAATGGAAAAAACACATTGGAAAAATTAGAAGATTTGGTGCATATTATATAGAAGCTTAGTTGTTCTTTAAGAATTGCACGCTCATAATAGGTGTAATTTATTTACCGCTATCAGATGTAAAAAATAAAATGAGCTCACAAACTACATTAAAAAAGAATTTACTAATCACAACAAGAAAAACAGGTATTACATTTTGATAGGAGATATCAATTCATACATGAATAAAACATTATATTATAGTGGTCCATCCAAATTCAGAAAACCTTCAAATATTATTACATGGCTAGACAACGTCTTCTTTATGAACACATATAGAAAACTAAATTCCAAAAAGAGATGTTTCACATGGAAAAACAAGAATATATCAACTAGAATTGATTACATCTGGACGAACCCTAAATTTGAAGCCAACATCAAAAAGAGCCACATATATCAATCGATTGATATTACAGATAGTGATTACAACATTACACTTGCAGAAATTTCATTCACCAGTATAATAGTTACTAACAATAAAGGAGGCAGAAGAGAAAAAAAGACTCAACACGCATCATATATGATTATGAGAATACCACCAATGAACAGTAGAATGCATATGAGAATTACTTTAAGGTCCTTTTGGAAAAACACAAGGCCTTCAGATACATAGAAATCCACAGACAAAATGAAAATACACTGAACAAATTGTGGGACATTATATGTAATTGTGTACAACAAGCCGCACTCAAACATATTCCGCACAAAAAGATAAGTGGAGTCAAAACCAATTTAATAGAAACTACAAAGAAATCGAAGATTTCTTTAAAAAACATAAAGACCTATTATATATTAGAAACATAATGAGGAAATTATATAAAAATGAATTAAAGTTACTTAATGCATCGAAAAGAATCAAATCATTCAACCAACGCTATGGAACTGATATAGCAGAAATAATGGAAAATACAGACTGGAATTAAAGATGGTTAATGGTCCTACTCAGTCCTACTCGATCCCACGTGATCGGTCTTTAGGACCGGACCGGTACAGACCGCAGTCTTAGACGCAGTAGGACCAAAATGAAGACTGACATCGGTCCTACATTTCAGTCTTCATAATTTTACATAAATTTTTAATACTTTTTTTTTTTTAAATTTGTAACACTTTTATTAATTATGTTAATGATAAAACACATAGTAATTATACAAAACTTAGACGAAAATACAAATAAATTATATTATAATACATATGCACTTTCAATTATATAATTCATATTAAATTTGATTAATAATTATTGCTGATCATTTCAGAGACGTAAATCCAAAAAACAATGTAATCCAAAAATAAAAATTTTTATTAATACTATTATATATGCATTTTATCAAATAAAGAAATTATTTACACTTTATTGAACTAAAATTTTCTTATTATTGTAAAATATTATTATTAAACTTAATTATACAGTCAACTCCCTCTATAGTCACTCCCGTTATAGTCACATTCTACTATATAGTCACACCAGTTGAATGTTCAAAACACTTTATTATTAAAATCTATCCTATATAGTCACAATCTATCTATAGTCACTATCACACCT